CAGCCAGCCACCCACCCCCGCCGCCGCCCGGACCGCGACCCCGGCCGGGGAGGCGCAGGGCCGCCCAGAGCTCCACACGAGCCGCAGGACAGCGACCAAGACGCGCGCTGGGCAGCGGCACAGTCACCGCGGGACCGGCCAGAGCCGGGACCAGGGGGACGCGGGATGGGAGGGAGGGCGGAGGGGATCCCACCCCGGCGGGGACGCCAACCTACCCGGCCGTTGCGGTCGGTCTCCTGCACCTCCTCAGCGCTCGGCCCCCGCCGCACCAGCTCCCTCAGCAGCCCCACGTCGTTGGCGCAGGCGGCGCGCAGGAGGGTCGCCTCCTCCGGGACGCCCTCTGGGACGACCTCCGCACTCGCGGTGCCGTATTCCTCCTCGCCTCCGACAGGGTAAAAGGAGTCGTCCGAGGCGATGCTGCGGGTGTCGGGCAGACACGAGAAGTCCTCGTACTCTTCGTAGTCGCCAGGGTCCTCCCCGACCAGAGCGCCCCGGGGTGGGGACGGCGTCTGCGGGGGCACGCGGCGCGCCCCGCCGCCCTCCGGCCCGGGCCCGGCCAGCAACACCATGCTGGCGGCCGGGGCGCGGGCCGAGACACTGGCGCGCGGGGCGTGCGCCGAGGTCACCGCCCCTCGTCCCCCGCGGCCCCAGAAGAGCGGGGCTCTGGGCGCTCCAGCCCGGCGGAACCGAGCGCCGGGCAGCTGCGCTCCGAGACTAAAGTCACCGGAGGCTGGAGAAAACCCCTCGGGGGTGGGAGGAGCCGCGGGGGCTTTCCGGGCGCGGCGGGCGGGCGCGGGCGGGGACCGCGCGGGGAGGAGGGCGGGGCGGCCGCACGGGAGGAGGCGCGCGCCCCGGGTTCCCCCGCCCGGCGCCCGGCGCCCAACAAAAGTTCAGAGCGGAACGTGGGCTGCTGGGCGCCGCGGGGCCAGCGCACCGGGCCGCCTTGCCCCCGGAGCCGAGAGAGGCACGCGCGGGAGAACTAGAAGCAGTAACTGGAGAAGCCGAGCGCCAGTGTCTCGGGCGGCGAGCGGCCCCGCCCCCCCCTTCAGCGACCCGGGGGGGAGCGGGGATGAGGGCGAAAGTGGGGATCAGGGGACGCCGCGAGCTGAGCCTGCTTCCCGCGTCGGGAACCTCCAACCCCCGGGGCCCTGCACCGCCCAGGGCGTCAGGCTTCCCAGCCGGGGTTACAAGAATTTCTCGGCACCGGAGCCACCGAGCTCGTTTTTCCACCTCCTCAGGAGACCGGGCTCTGGGGCCAACTCCACTCCGAGCCTAAGACCGGGGAATCGCCGGGGACAAGGGCACAGAGGACGAGTCCACCGAGGGGGCCCGGGGCCGGGGCTGCGCTGCGGCCCGTGCCCCTTTGAACTGGAAGCTTCCGGAGGGGACGGTCCGCAGAGTCCCCCGATCGCGCAGAACTCGGGCCAGCTGTGGCTTGCAGGTTGCTTCTAAAAGAGCCACCCTAGGGTGATGTCTTAAGGGCTCGGGTGGGAACATTTGGTGAAAATGAAAGGCTCCAGGCCAGAGCTTGAGGGGTGCCCTCCTCCCCCACTCCTAGCCCATGTCACGGTGCCTGGATCTGCGGAGTCAAGACAGAGAACGGCGTGAGGCCGCGACCGGGCTCTGACTAGGGGCTGGCTGCCAAACGCAGAGAGCGGGCCCGCAGGAGACTGCCGCGGCCCAATTCCAGCCCCACGCCGCCCGGGCCTGGCCTCTCCGGGTTTATCCCGGTGCTGGGGGTGATTTGCCGCGGGGAGCCCCTGACCTCGGAGAAGAGAGTGTGCGGCGGGCCAAATCCCCGTGGAAATGGCTCTGCGTGAAGGCGCTGTGGCGAGCCTGGGTTGGAGGAGTCGCACCTTTGGCAGAAACTGTTTGGATGGCGGAGGGGGGGCGGATGCGGATACCACCAGGGGACACAACCACCCCTCTCTCTGTCCCTCTCCCTCCTTGCCTTTTCACCGCTGGTGATAGCGTGCCCACCATGGGCCAGCCCCCGTGCAAGGCCCTCGGGGCCCAGAGGTGGACACAACCCGACGGACGAAGCCGTCGGGGGCCAACTTGAGGATCCCTGGCCTGGGGGGCAAGCTGAGGGGCTCAGTGGGGAACACGATCAAAACTACCCTGTGTGAGCCGTGAGGGGGGTGGGGGCCGAGCAGGGTTAACCTCCGAGACCTTGTAAGCCCCGAGACCCTCCGAAGCGGTCACCGGGGCCTCGGGTGTGCTCGCTGCCGGCTCAGAACCTGGCGTCCGCGGGGCTCGGGAGGGTGGGAGGCGGGGGGGACCGCGATTTCTAGTAAAGACACAACCATGCACTGAGCTAGCAGTGACCTGGGTGCACTGGCTTCCTCCGGTACTCGGGGCTTTCTTTCTGAAGCCCAAAATACCCAAATCAAGGTTTGCGTCTATCTTTTTCTGTAGCCGGCAAATTTACATAAATCCCCCTGGGCATTTCCCCCTTCCAAGTTTGGCAGTGTTTTCAGCCTTTCCAGAGGCCTGTTACTTGAGGTCATGGGGATTTACAAGTTGAAGTGCCCCCTCAGGGCAGGGTTGGGTTTGCTAGCCCTCTCCTCCCAACCAAGTACAGCGCTGGCCGGCGAGGGGCGGTATTAAAGAAAACCCTAGCGGCCTGTGGCCGGATCCCGGGGGGATGGGGCCGGGTCTTTGAGGGGCTGCAGCCCTAGAACCAAGCAACACGCACCCTTTTCTGGAGTCGGGCCGCCCCGTGGTCCTCATCACTCAATCACTAAGGAACGGAATTCAGGCCCTATCTTCCGAGTTCACCACTTCCTCCTTTTCTTTCTTAGAAATTTGGATCCAAATAGCACTGGAATGGGGTTTTCCCTCGGAAGATAAATTTCTGGAGCCGTTTGCTCCAAATAAGGACTAGCTGGTCATTTGTGAGTGACCAGACCCCAGACCCAGGCAGATCATTTTCCCCTTTTAGAAATGCACCCCTTTTATCACAAAGACAAAAGATTCTCAATGTTGCTAAGAGAACACAAAATGAGGCATATGTATGTTTAATAAAGTCAACACTTATGTGTACAAAATCTTCATAGAAAGGCCAAAGTTGCTTATCAAAACTGCCAACACTCAGGATAACTTTAAATCTCAAGAAATTGTATTGTCTCCAAGACTTCAGTTTCAATTAACTATTTTAATTTATGAGGGTTTTTTTAAGTTTTATATATATCACAATTACACAATTTGTCGACTTAGTTGGATAATTTGTCTTTGGACCATAACAAAAAAAAAATACACTACTTCAGTTCTATTTCTGGAACAGGGCACCTAACCATAACACCTACAACAGGAGACTCTTTCAATATTACAAGCAGTGTATTTAAAGACTGAAAACTGAATGCACCTGTAGTAGCATCCCACCCACAACTTCGTTTGGAAAGCAGAGTATGGAGAATGGAGTAAATCCAAGTCCACTCCACTGTTCATAACCAGGGCTGGAGGGAGGATGGAATGGGAGAGTGGTGTTAAACCTTTGCACATCCATCTAGAATTTAGCACACAATAAGTTTAACTTACCCTGTTATTAAAATTGAGATGTCCATAAGTCTTGATAATATAAACTGCTCCAGGGACCTGGTTCTGCAAATATGTTGCCGTTTGCAGAGAGAACCAGCCCATGTGAGGTGAATGAGAAAAGCTTTTTATTTTTTCCATAGGAAAGGCAGTGTGACTTGGGGTGAAGAGCAGATTGGGATGTCAGACAGACCTGGCTTCTTACGATGATTCTACCACTGTTGAATCGCAACCCAATGGTTCTAGACTTTGAATGTCTATTACTGTGGGTATACTCAGGTATACTGTGGGTATATAACTTAATTCAGAAAATAAAATAAAAACAAACCAAAAAAAGCCAAATGGGGGAAAAACCTTAATTGTAGGAAAAACATTAATTGTGCTGCCCATTACAAACGATTCACAACAGAATCTAGTGAAATTGCTTACAAATCAAGAAGAAAAAGCAGCATGTTTACCGATTTTGTTAGCCCTATTGTCCCCTGGCAGGTAGCAATAAAATTCATTAAAATGAAAAGAGCTGTTTGCATGCTTTTAGGGCTTTGGAGAGAGCCCCGTTAGCTGGCTTGGGGCTTGCTTTCTTGGGGTCTGGACTGAGTGACGGCCACAGTTAAAAGGAAATTAAGGCCAGCTCCTGTGGTTGGTGTCAAAGGAAGAAAACGGGGTGTCGGGGTGGGTCTAGGGCCCCTCAGCTAGGCTTCATAAAGACTGAGAAGCTCCACTGTGTGGCTCCCAACTTCCCCTCAGAATTCCACTCCAAGACCTGGGTTTGGAGAAGAGCATTGCCTTTGAGGTTCGCAGCAAGCTCCTGCAGAAGTAGAAGCCAGTGGAAATGGAACACATTTCAGTCACTCGTTTAAAAAAAAAAAAAAAAAAAAACAGTTTCGGTAAACCAAAATTATTTGATGTGGAGTTTTTGCAAATTTCGCTGGGTTGATTATAATGCGTGGAAGCAACCTAGAATATCCTGTAGTCAGTCAATCTATAGAATGACGGAGACCAGCTTACACTTCTGATCTGCTTAGAAATATAAAGAAAAGTCTCTGTGTGTATTTCTGGATCTCCTTATTAAAATGATTAGCTGCTGTCTGGCCCTAACTTAGTTCAGTTGACAGGACACAGGATCCCTCTCGCTGAATGGATCTAACCATTTAACAACTTCCCTTGCTTTTAGGGAGGATTTCTGCCTTTGTGGTTAGATATTTGGAAGAAGTATATGGCTTGTGTGCACCCCCTGCCAATTCTTCTGCTTTTTTCCTGCTCTTGGTGGGAATTAGCAGTAACAGGATAAAGCTAGGGAAGCCCTGTTTACTCAAGGACAAAAGGCCTTGGGTCCTCATCTGAATAAAGTTGGTTATTTTTAAAGATTGAGGTTAAGGTTCTGAAGGCCAATTCCAAGAGTCAAATGCGATGTCAAAAGTTGTTTGTTTTTTATTTGTTTTTTTAAAGATTTTATTTATTTGACAGAGAGAGAGAGAGAGACAGTGAGAGAGGGAACACAAGCAGGGGAAGAGGGAGAAGCAGGCTTCCTGCCGAGCAGGGAGCCCGATGCAGGGCTCGATCCCAGGACCCTGGGACCATGACCTGAGCTGAAGGCAGACGCTTAAAGACTGAGCCACCCAGGCACCCCTCAAAAGTTGTTTGTTAAACAACTTACACAACAGAAGGCTTCTCCATGCCCACCCCACCCCCATCTCCCACCCGGTATAAAATGTAGAAGGGCAAGGCCACCCCTCCCGCCACAGCGCCATTGTTCACGCCCTCTTAATAGCCCTTAGGGCCCTGTGTTCCAGTGATTTTTGCAGAACTACCTTCCTTATCATAACCTGAGAGTTCACCAAATTCAAAGACCAGGTTTTAGTGTTCTCAGTGCTCAGCATTCAAGAGGGGATCCCACCATCTTTGGTGATGCTCATTAATCCCTGTTAGCTGAGAGAGCAGGCAAGGCTGCTAGGCCAGCCCCAGCTGTCTCTGGGGACCTTCTAGATTTATACAAGACCAAGCACAGGACGTGAATTTCCTTTAGCCACTT